AAATAATCCGTAAATTACTGAGCTGGTGTCACTCGCTTTCCATGTTATCTTATGGGACTTTCAGGGCTGGACAGCACCACTTGCAACGTTGCCAATTCTACAAGGCCGCGGCCTGTAGTTAAAGGCGGCCGTGGTTTAGCCCGGACGTGTTTGACGCGGACACCCTCAAAATGGTGTTTCACCCGGACGGACGCTTCAGAAATCCCCGCGCCACGGCTGGGTGGGTAATTCGTCGCTTTTCGCCCCCATTATATCGAGTAAGGACGCTCGGTGGCGTTTCCCTCCCAACACAGGGAATTATTACTATCGTAACCAGAACTGGTGGGCCCGTAGCTACAAGTGGTAGAAAATACAGTTTTTTTGTTTATTATTAATTCTATTCGGATTTCAAAAACTAAACGCTATTACTACCTGTATAATTGCAAGCACGGAATCTATAATGTTATAAATTACAATTAAAAATATTGAAAGTAAAAAGTAAAGCCTTCAAATGTTAGTATTATATCAAATATTGCACATACTTATTAACAATGAACCTGAGCATATTCCATAACAATTAGAGAATGATTACTTAGGTGGCTATTTTAAAATCAAAATTTAAACTTCAATTTTAGTCCTGCCCCACGGATGGGGAACAAGACTGTTTCATGATTTTTAGCCTGAATTTTATATACTGCTTTACTGCTGTACCGGATTTTTTAAATTATGACACAACTATATATTAATGACGTAAGCCGATTCTTTGCGTCAAAATTGTGGGCAACTGGGAAGTTGTAGAACGACCGGAGAGGGCTCAAATTAAAGGTCTCGATCCCGTAACGGTGGGAAAAATACCGGTAGTGAAATTCCAAAACTGTTTTGATCGTGATTTATCTTTAAGCCAGTATGCAAAATTACATTTGGATTACTCCATTTGCTAGTCTAAGCATACCTCAACACACCTTCTTTGCCTTTATTTGCATTTTTATATTTCACGAAGGCAATGTCTAACATTCAAATCAGGGAATCCTTTTTTATGCAAGTTAATCACGAAACTAAATCTACCTTAGTATGACAGTACCGTATTTATTCACAAACAAGTATATGTTTGCTGCCTTTAGCAGAGTGATTTACTTATGGAGTGATTCAAATAATCTATTGAAAATAACATCATCAAAAGCAAACAAAAACGAACAACAAACAAACTCTACACAAAAGTAAAGTAAATTAAAGTAATGTGTTCTCCATAAGAATAGCATTAGCAGCCATTTTACAGCTGATTTTTGTTTACTTCAATACTGCTGATCGTGATTTATCACTAATCCAGTACGCAATATTATAATTTAGAGGATTGCGTATATAATTCAAATATACTCTTATTTGCCAGTATATTCGGCAATGTACTGTATACTTTATAAAACCAGAAATAATGTTTTCTGCATAGACCCTTTTCGTTCGTCTAATAACATCCAAAGGCTCTCTAAGAGTTCAAGTTCTTATTTGTATACTTATCTATTTTGAGATAGACCTATTATGTTTTCACTAAGCTGAATGAATACATCGAAGTAACCTCTCTGAAACATCTGCAGTATATTGCAGTATATCAAATCTATACTATTATAAAAAAGAGGTGGTTGCTGTATGTGTGTATGGGAAAAGTAAACTCGAAAAATACTGGTCGGATTGGGCTGAAATTTGGCATGATGATAGCTCACATTCCCGATTAACATATAGGCATATTCTTATTTCAAAAATCCTTTCGGGCTCCGCCCCAGTGGCTCTGGAGTTTCCCATGTTAACCTTATGAGAAATGGAATTATTGAATCTTAACAGCTGTTTCAATTAAACAAGTTGGTTCTGATCTATGATGTTCAATAGCATTAAAGTTACAAGGATTACCAACAGGGTGCAGCACTATTATTTCTTTTACATTTATGACAACAGCTAATTTGCAACCAAAAGGTGAGTGAGCGTAGCGAACGAACTTCAACCTGGAGGCGAGTTAGCGTAGCGAACGAGCTAACCTGAAGGCATGTGAGCGCAGCGAACGAGCTCCAACCTAAAGGTGAGTGAGCGTAGCGAACAAACTTCAACCAGGACGTGATTGAGCCATGCGAACGAGATAATCTTGAAAATTAAGAAGTTAAACGGGGCAAAGCCCGCGGGTTACAGCTAGTATTTAATAAAATCACAATTTTATAATTATTTGCAAATCTACATGGCTTAGGCTTTCTAATGACCCATTAATTACAGGCCCACTTTTATAAACGGGCAGACTGGGCATATGCCCAGGGGCGCCGGCGGTTGGGGGTTTTATCAGCCGGGATTTCAAAAATAAAATGGGTGATTTCAACTTGTAGTCAAGTGATTTTCCTTTATTGCAAAAGTAAATAAACACAACAAAATTGAAAATACTCGACCTTCAGATTATACCTCGTGTAGTCAGGGAAAGGCAGGCAGCAGTGTGAACCGGGCGCACTCACTATACTATCAGAGGCAGGGAGGCCTGCATGGTGGAAGGAAAATACATAAGTGTGCTATTCCCATCATATGCTGACGTCACTCAGATTGCATACCATTTTACCATTGAGAAAAATTATAAAAACAATAACAATCAAATCAAAACAAATATATACTTATATGGCAATACATCAGCTGATTTTTTGTTTGCAATTTGGGTGACGTCCGCAAATTACGGGAATAGCATGTAGGCCAGCTGTAGTCTACAGACCTACGGTTCACGTGCCCCTCCTCTCCATCCCAGTCCCACCCCCATCCCCATAAGTCACAACTACAATACCAACTACCGCGAGGCGCCAGTCCGGCCAGTCCAGTACAGTACTCCTCCCTCAGTAGTCAGTCAGTAGGTTGTGTTCGTGTTGTGCCTGCTGCACAGTCTTTAAATCAGTCACAACACAACCTAAACTGTGACAGTCACTAGTCAGTGTTGACACTCACACTACAGTTAGTGAACCAGTAATAAATAAATAGAGAAATACAAGTAATTAGGCTTATAAACAGTGAAAAATGCATAAAAAACCTAGTGGAGCCGAGAGCTGCAAGCGGTTAGCTCAAAGAAAACAAACTCAAGAAGCAGATTTAAAGAACGTGAAATGTTAACCAGTATTTCCATTGATAAGGAATTGAAAACTCCCTCCCGAAACAAAACTGGTAAAAAAACACGCTAATGTATAAATATATATATGCATAGGCTTATAGTAGAACCATGGAAAAAACATACTCCTTAGTAGAATCTCGTTCAATACGTGTGTAATGCAATGAACTGTACTGTACTGAACAGTAATAATGGAATCACTGCGTAGTGCATTAAGCTATTAGCGCACGGCAAGAGGCATTCGCACAGCAACTACTGTCAAGTTCATTGCACTCACCCCAACCCCCAACCTACCTCCTGCAGAGAATTTCGGTGAACTGATGAGTCAACCCTCCTTCCCTCTTTCCCTCCCTACAATGCTGTGGTCAAAACCTTTATAGTTATATATATAGATACTTTGAAAATGGCCTTAGAGCCGAAACTATAGTCAGTAAATATTTTAATAAATAATTTTACTTGGGTACTATGTCTGGCAGAAGCTCGAAGGACTCTTGCGGATTAGGCCACCCTCACTCACACACACACACACTCTCACCAGCGGCGGCCCAGTACCTGCCCCTCCTTCCCCCGGCGGCCGGTGACTCACCACTGGATTGCACCAGTAAATAAGATGACAATGTAATTTTTTAATATTTTTCGTTTCATTTGCAATTATTTGTTTTCACAATAAAATTGTGAGTTTATCAAGCTAAAATTCGACTTGATCCCACGACTTCAAGCTTTCAAAAACACTATTTTTTATTTCTAGGTTGTATGAAAAGTGTGTTGCATAATATTTAGTTGTGATGAGTAAGCTTTTGATACGCACTAATCAAAGGTCTTTAAAATAAACTCAAGTTCCTTTAAAAAAATCTTTTATTAATCTCTAATACTATGATACACAATAACGTAGAGGACTTAGAAAAATACAAATGTACAATATATACATACGTAATAAGTTATAATACTCAGTACAACGTAAGAACCAGTTTGATAGATATTTTTAAAGGCTATACTTAAATTCTTAGTCTGGCTTCTGGCTTAGCGGGTAAAAATGTAAAAAATTGGTTTTAATTAAAAACTTTAAGATATGATAAAAACGTACTATTAGCCTCAAAATATGACATACAAATAAAACGGTAGAAAATATCAATTTATAAATAACTGGCACACACACTTAAAAATGATATTGAAACTAATAATAATAATAATAACAAAGTGAAACCCAGTTTGGCATAACGGGCCTAATTAAACTACATAAACGGTAAATATCAAACAAAACGATAAAATATCAAATCTTAATAAACGGGAGATAATGTAATATAATATCATACTAATGTTTAATTAATAAAACTATAAATAAAATAATTTAATACCAGGTTACAGCGCAACATTGTATGAATAAATAAACAGGATTTACGTTAATAACTTTTATTTTTCAATTTGTAATGTATTCTTTAAAGAAACAGTATAGGGCCTATTTATAACTGATTGAAAAACTAAATAGGCCTAAACATCATAAATAAATAAGAAAAAAATACAAGCCCGACAGTAAATATATTTAAAGTAAAAAATACATGCCCGACAGTAAACATATTTAAGGTAAAAATATAAGCCCGACAGTAAAAATATTTAAGGTAAAACGTATAAGTTGACAGTAAATCTATAAAAAAATACAAGCCTTCCAGCAAACATTTAAAGTAAAAAAATATGCCCCACAGTAAACATATTTAAATAAAAAAAATACAAGCCCGACAACATATTTAAAGTAAAAATAAAAATATCCGAAAATACTAATATCCTAGTAAATAGCAAGTCAATATAATAAAATCACAGATGGAACACAATTTTACGCTACTGTATTAGATTAAATAGTTTTTTTTATGTATCACAGACACATACCTCGCATCACTACCACACCAGGTGTCTAGTCTAAAGGAAAAATATCCAGATCTTCATCAGACTCGTCATCATTGTCACTTGATCCATCGTCGGAGTCATCTGGACACAAGTTGATGATAAAGTCCTGGATGCTAGAGTCATTCAGCCCCTCACTTGTCCAGTCGGCGTCGATAGATTTCTTGGCGTGGTCCACGTACTTCTTCCACTGTTCTGGCGTTACGGTGCTGATTGATTCCATGAACAGCTTCTGGATGTCACCCAACTTAAAAGTCTTGTTTCTTTCTTTTACGTACCCTTTGAGATACCCCCATACCATCTCTATGGGGTTGTAGTGGCAGTGGTATGGCGGAAGTCGAATCACCGAGTATCCTAATTCGGCCGCCCTTGCATCGATTGCATATTTTGGCTGGGGTGGTTTATGTAGCTTTACAACTTCATAGATTTCCCATTTTCTCAAGTCGGGACTAAACGGTATTTGTTTATCTTGCAGCCATTTCACCATCTCTGCTTTGTTGCTGCTTGTGGTTGGCGCTTTGTCTTTTACCCTTGAGTGGTACGGCGCGTTGTCCATCACAATCACACTTCCAGGGGGGATTGCTGGTAGCAAAACCTCAAAGAACCATCCCTCAAAAACGTCGCCATTCATGTCTTCATGGTAGTCGCCCGTCTTTTTGGATTCAAAAATAAGAGGTGGATCATTTATCCATCCCTTCTGTCCCCCCGCATGGCAAATAATCAAACGTTTACCCTTTCCCAAAGGGGTACTCAGGGTTCCTTTGACTGAATCGTCAGTCCAACCTTTGTCTTTCGTTAAATTTGCATTTATCCAAGTTTCATCCAAGAACACAATGTTTTCAGGATTTATATTGTGAATTTTTCTTAGAAACTGGCATCTCAGGAGTGCAACTGACGGTTTTTCCATCAAACATTTCCTACTATTAAACTTTTTGTATACAAAGCCTATCGCTTTAAGTATTTTAGCTAATGAAAATCTACTGCCATGAAACAGATCAGCATCTTTCAAGGAGACAATAAGTTTTCTAAGTGTCGGTACCTCTTTTCTTTCATAATAAGATAAGATGTGTCGGTGGATAGCTGATTTCTGAAAGTCGTCTAAATTACAAACATGGCTATTATACGACTTACGACGGGGTTTCCTCGGTGTACGGATGATGGTCCGGCTTTTCTTTGAAACAGGTGTTTCTTCATCTTCGAAGTCGTTTGTAGCACTTACGACTCGGCTTAAAGAGCCACATTCACTTCCGACGTCCTTCGTTACTTCTTTCAGTTCACTATTAATTCGGCGCACAGTCCTGTATGGCACTTTGCAAGCAGCGGCAACCCTTTCAAGAACCTTGTTTAAATCAATAAGAGGTCCAAAATTATTCTTCTCTAAATAAAAATAGTCTATCACAGACGCCACAATAGTTCTAGCTTGAGTATGTAATACTTCCCTTTTAGAAGTCATTATAGAATCACTTGTTTACGAAAAACTAACTGATCCCGCACTTAAAGAACAACTACCCTATCATAACTAATCTATAGGCCTAACTTGCGATGTTTCACTTGGTCACGTTCACGAGCTACTAAATCACAATCGCACAAAATGTTTCTTTCCTCACTAAACTGTGTCATCAGTGACTCACAGGATAGCCAAAGTGCGGGAAGTGGCCATAACGGGTAGATAATGTTATTAGAAAAGACAGCGCTGAGTCATAGTTTAAGCAAATAATATTCCATTTTGGGAACGCAAAGCTACAACCTCCACCGTTAGGGGTTAGAGAGCAAACCCTAACTCTAAAAAGGGATAACTTAATCAAATCTCTATTTAAACATTACGTTAAAAAAAAAGATTAAGTAGTAATCCCGTGCGGTCCAATGCGCTGCAAGTAAAAAGGTTTTAACTATCTTAAGTTTTAATACCACAGTCTAATATGGTTTTTATTCTGTAATAGTACTTTAAAAACAGACACAACAATCATTGACCACCTTTTAATTCATGGAAAATTGGTCTATAATGCTACCTTAGACCCCGTCACGTAAAAGAATCCCTTTGTAAATTTGGACACAAACCTACCGTTTATTTTAATGAATCTTTTTATTATAAGTTTTTTAAAGTGTAAGTTGGTTGCCAATTAGGAAATATTAGACCTACAACATTAACTATACATAGCTATACATAGTACCAAAGATTACATATGCTACGCAAAAAGCATATTTTGCGTAGCATATGTAATCTTTGATAGTACTTATCAAAGCTAACTCACATTAATAAAATATTATGCAAAAACCTATACCCCAGAAATCAAAATAGTGTTTTCAAAGCTTAAAGTCGTGGGATCAAGTCGAATTTTAGCTTGTTAAACTCACAACTTTATTGTCAATTCAAATAATTACAATTAAAACAAAAAATTTAAAAAATTTTCATTTTCATATTTGTTATGGCCGCAAGCCAGTGGTGAGTCACCTGCCGGGCGGGCGAGGGATGGGACAGGTATTGAGCAGCCGCTGGTGAGTGCGCGTGCGTGGGTGAAGGGTCGCCTAATCCGCTGGAGTCCTTCGAGCTTCTGCCAGACTATAAGTTTATTAATGAATCTTTATTTATATATATATATAAGGGGGGCGCTGCTTTTGGGTTTGCCCAGGGCGCCACTGACCCTTAACGCGGCCCTGATTAATTAACAAAATCGTTCCAGTGGAAGTCTAGATTTAGTTGTACAAAGTTTAACAAAAATATCCCAAACTCAATATTTTCTCATTACTATAAATTCGGAGGTTGCTTAGCTTTTTTGCAAATAACTTTTAAATGGTGAGGAAATCGACCAAAGTGAAAGGTAATATTCTGAAAGAGAATAAAGTTTCCTACAAATTGATACCATGCACTTCTTGGAAATATTCAAAAATGGCAGCTAAAAGTCGCGCCCAAATAAAAAGTGTGAAAAACACCGTTTTCAATGTATTTCTTATGGAAAACACGTTTTCTTTAATTTATCACCATAAATCATAACAAAAACAAACTTTCATAATTAAAGTTCATTGTTGGTGATGGTGAGTTAATGTTGTTCAAAGGTTTATTGCGGACATTTTCCATCACGAATGTAAAAAAACAATACACAACTTTTCGGGATCTGGAATCTGATCCCGTCTTCAGGTGAAAAAAACTTAACTAACACATTACAACTAACAATACACAAACGCCCAACCTAAGTTGGAATACACTACAGAGGGTAGTAGTCAAAAAATATGCACTGTATAGCAGTCAAGTCATGATACAACATGCAATTAATAACAAATCACAAAACACTATAATCATAAAAGGTTTAACGTAAAAAACTAACACAATGGAACACTAAAAGCACTGCACGCAATGACTCCACCAATGAGAATGAGACTGAACCAACATGGCTGACCAATCGGAAACACGGAGACAACAGAAATGGCTTCCGGTCACTGGAAAAGTAAAACCAACAAAATGGCGGAGCGATGTACGATGCCGCAAGATGGGTGTTAATTATGTTTATTCCTATCATGAGTTTTACTACGAGTTAACATAACGTGCGAATTTTGAGGAGAGCTCGTTATTTCCCTATTTATTGAACAATTAAGTTCCCTATCCTTTAGTTCCTTGTTCAAAATGGGTAGCCAATGTGGCCTTATTTCAACCGATGACTGACTGATTGGTTGGTCTGCTAATTTAATGTATGAGGCTTCAATGAGTTTACGTTTGAAAAAATGAGGTTCCTTATGGACAATTTTTGCCTCTTCAAAATTCATACGATGATTTTCGGACCAGCAGTGATGAGCGATCTTAGATTTAACCGAAACGTTGTGTATTGTTTTTTTACATTCGTGATGGAAAATGTCCGCAATAAACCTTTGAACAACATTTCATAATTATTTGCAAATCTACACAACTTAAGCTTTCCGACGACCCATTAATTAATAAAATCGGTCCAGTATAACTCTAGATTTAGTTGTACAAAGATTTTTAAAAGTGAATCTATAAAAGAGGATGTTTGTATATTTGTTTGGCAGTGATAAACTCAGACACCGCTGAACCGATTGCCACGAAACTTGGTACATACGCGTAGAATGTCATGGAATAGGTTTATACACCATCAATTTCGCGATCCGTCCAATCGGCTCCGCCCCAGTGGCTCTGGAGTTTCCCATGTTAACCTTATGAGAAATGGAATTAATGAATCTTAACAGCTGTTTCAATTAAACAAGTTGGTTCTGTTCTATGATGTTCAATAGCGTTTAAGTTACAAGGATTACCAACAGGGTGCAGCACTATTATTTCTTTTACATTTAGGACAACAGCTAATTTACAAGCAAAAGGTGAGTGAGCGTAGCGAACGAACTTCAACCTGGAGGCGAGTTAGCGTAGCGAACGAGCTCCAACCTAAAGGTGAGTGAGTGTAGCGAACGAACTTCAACCAGGACGTGATTGAGCCATGCGAACGAGATCATCTTGAAAATTAAGAAGTGAGAATGAGAATGAGAATGAGAATGAGAATGAGAATGAGAATGAGAATGAGAATGAGAATGAGAATGAGAATTTTATTTGGTCTTTTAAACATGCAGTTACATGCAATCAGACAAGTCATATAATAATCATCTGGCAACAATCAGTTAGGCTAACAGTCCCAGTTAGTAAACTGGGTTGACTTAGCTTAAATCACACCATGCACAAAAACAGGCAAATATAATTAAGTTAAACGGGGCAAAGCCCGCGGGTTACAGCTAGTTATATACAGGGTGTTCATTTGAAAACTTTCCATATCTGTTGTGTGCAAAGGTAAGGCTTTTAACACTTGTTTGTTCTCAATTCCCCCTAATTTGGACATGCCAAATCCAATAAAATTATTTTCAATTTTGAAAAATGCCCCAAAAAGGGCCCAATTTGGGGGGTAGGGGTGCTTTTTGAGAAATTTTCAAATGTAAACATGGGTTGTGTGATACATCAATTTAAAGGTCTAATCACCCCGATCATTTTGGTGCAAAAAAAGATTAATTATCTTTAACTGTATTTACAGGGTGGGTCAAAACGTTTTAAAAAAGGACTTTGAAGTTAAGTACCGTATTACCCTAAATACTGAACGGAACAGCGCCAAATTTCTTTCCAAGCTTATTCTTGAGCTACTCTTTAAGATAACTTGTAGTAAGGGCATTTTCCATGTTATTTTCTAATCAAAAAAAAAATCTCAAATTTTAAGAATAAAAGAAAGCTGAAAACTCAAAATTCTTAAATAGCAAGGTATGACAAATTTCATACCACGTGAAAGGTCCTTTTTTAACAAACATTTTACGTATTTAAGTTTTCTTTCTATCTCTTACCGTTTAAAAATTGCAGTAGAGAAACATAATTTTCTATGGTAAAATTGTAACTAGTTTTCTAATAAAACAGCCAAAATTCGTCTCTAGACACATTAAATGGTGCAATAACTGAAGGAAACAATTCATAATTATTTTTAGGCAGATAGGCAAACAAGTCATTACGTTTTACTTTGTGAAAAACAAGTTTTATAGCTGATGAGAAAAACCCAAGCGTGGGCCGCTTTCTGTTGTACCATTGACTAGTCAATGGTAGTACTAATTTCAAAAGTACCATTTTCTGTAGTACCTAATCAAATATGGTGTAAACTTAAAAAAATAGACTTTATTTTTACTTATTGGTCATAACAAAAGTGTTCCAGGATAACTGCAAAGTGTTTAACAATAGATATCCAGGTATAACCTTGAGTCATATGGCTGTAAATGATTTAGTTAGGAAGTTTTCTGAAACTGGCTCAGTTACCAATGAGAAAAGAACAGGATGAAGAGTCCAAGATGAATTCTGACACACGTTAAAGTAGTCGATCAATTTGTTATGAATCCTACTACATCGTTGTACAAAGTGCAATGTGTTTTATTAGAAAACTAGTTATAATTTTACCATAGAAAATTATGTTTTTCCACTGCAATTTTTAAACGGTAAGAGATAGAAAGAAAACTTAAATACGTAAAATGTTTGTTAAAAAAGGACCTTTCACGTGGTATGAAATTTGTCATACCTTGCTATTTAAGAATTTTGAGTTTTCAGCTTTCTTTTATTCTTAAAATTTGAGATTTTTTTTTATTAGAAAATAACATGGAAAATGCCCTTACTACAAGTTATCTTAAAGAGTAGCTCAAGAATAAGCTTGGAAAGAAATTTGGCGCTGTTCCGTTCAGTATTTAGGGTAATACGGTACTTAACTTCAAAGTCCTTTTTTAAAACGTTTTGACCCACCCTGTAAATACGGTTAAAGATAATTAAACTTTTTTTGCACCAAAATGATCGGGGTGATTAGACCTTTAAATTGATGTATCACACAACCCATGTTTACATTTGAAAATTTCTCAAAAAGCACCCCTACCCCCCAAATTGGGCCCTTTTGGGGCATTTTTCAAAATTGAAAATAATTTTATTGGATTTGGCATGTC